GCGCCCTCGGCCTCCGCCACCACTAGTGGGAAGGCCCGGTCCTGGGTCACCGTGGCCACGCGCTCATCCAGGCTGCTCACCAGCAACCCGTAGTCCCGAGGGCTGTAGAGGGAGAGTGGGGCCGTGGTGCCATCGCTGTAGGAGAGCCAGAGGCTCAGGAGGGCTTCCTGGAGGAGGAGGAGGAGGAGGAGAAGGAGCAGGAGTCAGAGAGCTCAGTTCAGCTAGCTTCCCTGCCAGATCCCTAGCTCTGTGAAGGCTCCCTCCCTGCCGTGTTCCCTGCGCAGGAACTGTGGCTGGCTTTTGGGAACTACTGTCTCAGAGTCTTTGTAGGTTGCAGGCAGGGTAAATAATGAGTTATGGCATCTAGGATCACTTCAGTCATCTCCCTTTGATGAGCTGCAGGTAAGTGCTACCTTGGGTCTAACTCAAATCCCTTCTGCTGCAGGAATAGCCCCATAACTTCATGCTTTACCTTGGGATCCCAACACCTTTCAGATAACTGGTCAGTTAGAATACACACCCACCCCCAGCCTCTACCTCAGTTGGCCAAAACCTTCTGAGAATTGACCTCCCAGCAGATGAGGAAGCAGGGCTCACAAAGAAGTGACTGGCCTAGGGCCACCTAGCAAGTCAGGCACAGAGGAGCCTTGTGTCCTGGCCCCTGGTTTGGTGCTCAATGCCCACCTCCTCTCTCCCCAGGGCTCCCACCTATCACCTTTCCACCTTCGTTGTGTGGTCATGCCTATGGTGGTAGTTGGGGCTCTAGACATGGGTGAGGGTTCTTCCTGGGGGGGGCAGAGGTGACAGCCCTCGGTGAGACCAGGAAGTAGACCCTCAGAGGGAATGTCTCTGGTTGCAAGTGCAGTGAGCAAGCTCTTGCCCATATCCTCTGTGCAGAGGGTGGGCCCTGGGGCAGGGCAGATGTGTAGGGCATAGAGGTTAGCTAGATCCTCCATGACTTAAGGCCCTAATTTGGGGACTCATGACTCAAGGGCAAGGCAGCGCCCCCACGTCTTCCTTCCACACCTGACTCCCTGGTCAGTGGACTGGGCAGCCAGTTACCTGCTTGAGGAAGCTGAGGGTCTGCTGGGCAGCTGTGGTGGCCAAGATGGTATGGCTGCTCCCAGGGCTGGGCCGCAGGGAGAGGGCCAGGCTGGCCACCACCTGGGCCTGCAGCTGTGTGATGCTGACCTTTTCCTCCGTCACCGTCAGCAGTGTCTCCCCGAGTACGGCCTCTGTCAGCGGGGACACCACCTGAGACATAGCGAGCAGGGGTGGGAGAGAGCCAGGAAAGCGGCACCCCCGCCCAAGGTCCCCAACTAGAGAGGAATCCCAGACTTGCTGGAAGAGGAGTGTGGGGAGGTGGGATCGGCTGGGAGGCAGGAACCCTTGGCTCTGTCTCAGGTCTGCAGCCAGAAGCCAGAAGGGTCCAGGGATCAGGAGAGGGCGGGGGGCTCACAGAAGCCAGGTAGGAACAGGGATGAGAAAGGTGGGCTGGTTCTAAGGAAAACAACAACCCTAGCACAGTGATGAATAGTAACTGATGTGCAACCTCAGTGTCGGGAGACAAAAGGGAGTGGTGGGGACTGCAAAAAATGGGGGAATCATGTTCAGTAAAGTGGACATCAGTATTGGCTCCAGCTGATTGTTGCCAGGTGGAAATGCAGTCCCAGGGCTGCCAGATTCATTTTTTGTAAAATCAGAAATCTCGATTTTTTAAGAACGAGAAACCTCCCAAATTTTAAATGCTGGATCAATTGCTTTACAAACAAAATACATATGCAGGCAGATTCCCGCCTGTGAATCACTACTTACACTTTCTTAGGTGATTTCTACCCAGACACCCATGGTCACCCAACTCAGGGAAGGTCAAAGTTGAGTTCCTAGATCCCCAAGCTTTCATTCCTTGCCTCTAGGCTTGTGGATTCTCACCTGTCCCCCCTCAGCTCTCAGGGAGGGGTATGCTTGGGTCACCTCCACTGAGGGGGGCAGGGTTGATAAAGGTTGATACAGCTTGTAGTGGGAACCTTTACCAAGAGGAAGTCAAAAGAGCCCGACTGTGGATGGCAGGATTTCAGACCTAGAGAGGCAGGCAGGGAAGGGTGCTCTGGGGCCAGGTGAGGTGCGCCCAGAGGTCGAGGCTCTGCGGACACCCAGGTTCTCCACCCACAGGTAAGCAAGGCTCCTGACACTGCCCCTCTGTTCGGGACAGAGCCCGTGCCTACCTTAAAGGGGGTGGTGCCCGGCTCCAGGCCTGCCAGCGTGCTGCTGTCCACCATGTGTGCCACTCGGGGGTCCCCCACCCGCATGAAGTCACTGACTAGGTCGGTGACCTCCACCAGCCAGTCTGGGCCCAGCATGGTGACCACCTGGTCAGTGCCCTCAGACGAGGTCGTGTGGAACTGGGTGAAGACCTGCAGGGTGGCGTGCTGGTACTGCAGGGTGCAGCCGCGGCTTGTGCTCTGCCGCCGCTCCTCTTCTTCCTCGTCCTCGTCCTCGCTCTCCCGGGCTGACCTGGGATGGGGACACGCCCAAGTCGGGGCTGGCTGGGTGGAAGGCTCCTCGCCCTGGCTCTGACTTGTGCAGGCCACGCCCCTCACCCATGCCCTGCTGGCTCCTCCCAGCTTCCATATCTAGGTTTGGCGCCAGGAGCCCCAGCCTTTTCCCTCCTAGAAAGGTACCTTCTTGACCCTGCCTTGTCCCTTTCCACCCCTGCATGGCTTCACCCATGCCTGGGAATAGCTGGCATCAAACCCTAACAGTTGCTGCGCTAAGGTCTATACTGGAGCAAAAGTGGTCCTCGTTATGGGATGCTGAATTCTCGGCTGAAGAGTGTTCTGTGTCTGCCGTGCAAGGCGGAGCCTGCCGGGGAAGAACTTGGGTATTTTGTGGAGGAGATTGCCAAGCCAGTGTGGAGAAGCAGCCTGATTTCCTCTTGTTGCTGTTAGTAGGATGTGAGAGGAGGGAGATACACTGATACACTGTTAAGCAAAAGGGATCCTGGACCTGATGATTTGGGAAATTCTCAGTCTATGCTAATTGCAAAAGATGCCAAAATCAAGAGAGACACTGCCAGGAAGGTGTGGCTCCAAAAAAGAAAAGCCACACTTTCTCTCTGTGGGTAGCAGAAGGACCGAACAGCCAGCATATTCATTCACACAGAGGGCTCATTTACCTGTGTCAACTAGTTTAATCCTTACAACAATCCTAGGAGGTTGGTGTTATTGTGCTCATTTTACAGATGAGGAAACTGAGAAACAGAGGGGTTGTGTGAGCAGCCCAAGGTTACATGGCTAGTAAACAGCAGAGTCAGGATTTAAACCAGCCTGTCTGGCTTCAGAGTTCACTACATCCTTGCTGCTCAACGCAGTACCACCATCACCCAAGAGCTTGTCAGAAATGCAGAATCTCAGTCCTCATGCCAGCCTCAGTTAGAATCTGCGTGGCAGCACAATCGCCAGACAATTCATGTGCACACTCAAGTCTGAGAGGCTCTGGGCCACATGACCTGGCTCTTCCAGATCTCTACTGAATTGAGTTCCACCCACTTCCAACTTGGCCACCTGTGCCCTCTGCCTGCTTCGCCCTGTAGCCCTGCCCCTCTCTGCTCCAAGCTATCTGTGATGCAGTTCCTCTTTTCTTCCCTGCTGGGCATTTCTCTCCAGCAGTGCAGAGTGGGTGAGCAGAGTGTGCCGAGTAGCTGAGTACACACGTACATGCCCCACATGAGTATGCACATGTACATACCCCCTGTATGGGCACTCCAGTGTGTAAGCCTGCATGCCTGTGAGGGAGCCTGGGCATGAGTCACTGTACTTGTGCCTGCCCAGGTGGGGCATCCATGTACAGGTGCGTGTGCTCCTGTGTTGGTGTGTCCGCTCCATTTTGTCTGCCTGACTGCTCTTTTACCGTTTCCCCAGCCAGCCCTTTTCTACTCAAGCTTTAAGACAAGCTCCAGAGCCACCTCTCCTAGGAAGCCTGCCTGACTTCTCTTGCAGGAAGAGGGGATTCTCTCCTTGTGCCATCTGACTCCCTGCACACAGGGCCTCCCATGTACCGCTGTGCTCAGTGGTGTGTGCATGACTGCCTCCCCTGCTGGACTGAGAGCTTGGCTGGGTCAAGCACTGGCCACTTTCATCCCCACCTCTCAAACACCTGCCAGTTCCTAGCACATAGTAGCTGCTCTGTGAAAGTTTGCTGATTGTATAATTGATCTACAGACTGCATATACCTAGGGCCTACATATGCCATCAGACTGTGTGCTGAGGCTGTATCTACCCGTGATTATCCCAGTTATCCACTGTGCATGGGGCTGTACCTCCGGTCTGGGAGGATGGGAACCCTCCAGCCCTTCACTTGGCTGAGGCGGGCATCTGAGAGCTCAATGTGCAGGGGCAGCTTGGGTACCCAGACCGTCATTTCCAGGGGGGCATTGAGGACATCGTAGCGGAAGGTGACCCTGGCATTCATGGACCCTCGAGACTCCTTTCCACTCACGAACACGTAGTCGCAGCTGCTGGATACCTAGGGGAAGGAACAGTTGGCATGTCCTGTCCTGCAGGTCCATGCAGGGGACTTAGGTTTCACACACAGGGCCAGGATGTGGCAGGAAAGGGAGAGTGCCAGTCACAAGTGGCTGCAGGGAAGAGGCCAGGTGGGAGGAGACGATTCCTCTGAGAGGTCCAGGTTCCATCCTTGCTTCTGCTCTTTCTCAAGATCATCCCTCAGGGCCCACTGGGGGAGGTGTTTGTTCTCTAGCAAGGAGCCAACGTGCAAATGTTTCTGACCAGCCTGAGCTACGCCTTGGAGGAGGCTCCAGCGTGAGGGCTGGCCTCTGGGTATCTGGCAGGCAGAGTCTTCCACAGCACAGAGAGGAGATATGGAGCACTTGACAGGGCAGGGAGGGAGTGGAGGTAGAGGGGACAGGGGTGAGGGGCAGGCTCACTAGTCCCCGGTGGCTGTGCTGCCATGGCTGCCCCAGGAGAATGAGCAGCTGGTCAATTTCAGGTGTGGGGCTGCTCTAGCCAGGTATGGAGATGAGGAAACATGAGGAAAATTTGGAGAGAACCTCAGCACAGATGGGTGGCTTGCTGCCACCAGTGGATGTGTGTGTGCCCACCTGGATACCAACTTGTGTTTCTAGGGGTTCTCTGGATGGAACCCATGTGCCTGCCGAACACATCTTGGTGGATGCCTGTGCCCACTCAGAGGTGTCGCTGCCAGCACTTTAGGGCAGGTGCAGGTGGGTGTGTGTGTTACATGTGCCCATGCGCACACCTGGCACACCTGGGGTGGATCCTGCATGCACAGGTCTAGGTGCTCCTTGGGTACACACCTATGGGTGCCTGGCTTGGGAAGGTCTATCATGCAGCCGGTAGGCAGGTGACTCCCTGAGGGCTCCAGGGGGGAGGCGGGTAGTGCTGAGATCATGGTTTATTCATAAAGATGAGCCCCTGGGACATCCCAAACCCTGCCAAGCTCCCCTCACCATCTCGGAGGGGAGGGTAGAGGGACGTGGGCATAACAGCCTTGCCCAAGTGCTTGTTTCCTACTGGAGAAGGCAGAGAATTCCATCTGCAGGTCTGAAAATTCCACTTAGAATGGGGCAGACTCTGTGATGAGCCTGAGTGTGTTTCACTAAGATTTGGAACCGGTTCCATTCAGAATCTTCACTAATTCCCGTTGGCATCCAAGCCATGGAGCCTTTGTTCTGGTACTCCCTGGGGTGGGGGTGGGGGAGCCTGGGTGGCAGAGAAGGCTCTGGGTGAGGGCCCTGGGAGCAGGCCGGGTTCCTCCCCTTCTGGCCTGCCACAGGCCTGGGCGGGGCTTCCCTGGAAGGGTGGTAGGGTGGGGGTACTAGACCGTTTGCTCTGGCTCCTGTGAAGGGCATCCTTCCTGGATCAGGCTGGAGGAGGTGAGACCAGGTTCCCCAGACCTGGAGGGCCCAGAGGCAGAGCATGGAGGGAGGGTGGGTAGTGGAAGCCCATGGAAGCAGGAGGAGAGGGATATCCACATCCCCACTCTCCTTCCAGCTGAATTATTTACAGGAACAGGCAACAAATTCAGTTGTCAGATTCTCTGACTTGGTGCCTGCTGGAGACTGGCACAGCACGAGGCCCAAACAACCTACACGTGCCAGGGCTGGGCATCCTCTCACTGACGGCCTCCTCTGTCACCTCCTCACCCTAGCTCACCTGGAACATAGACCACTGTTGTGAGCTGCGGGAGGAGCATCTGGAGCCCTCCTGGGAGGCGGCACACTGGACTGTGTGGGCTGGGCTGTGGAGGATCTGGGGCCAGAGCAGGGCCCTGGGAGTTCATGGCTGGGAGTAGCCTTCAGAGTTGGGGGGTGTGTTGGAAGCAGGACCTTCAGCACACAACCTTCCCTCCTGCCCAACTCCCGTGCTTCTTGAACCTTCTCCCTGGGCCCCACCTCCCTCATTCAGTCACCAGCACTCGGTTCAGGGCAGGCCTCTGAGCTCTTCCCCCACCTTGCCCTTGGTTGCCTTGCCTGGTGCCTGCCACTTGCCAGGGCTCAATAATGACTTGCCAGATTGAGTTCAAGTTGTCAACACTGCCTTCTCCCCTCTGGCCTGACTGTCTGTTCCATAGTCCTACAGGAAGTCCTCCAGGACCTGCTGTAGCAGTACCCAGGGGGCAGGAAGAGGGAGCACCATGGGAGTCAGTAGACTTGGGAATAACCCTTTTGGAACGGTGCAGTGGAGCTAGGATAAGGTGAGCTTGGTATTGTTGGAGGAGAAGGGAGGGGCGTCCACAGCAGCAAAAGGCATCCAGCACAGGGAGTGGTGAGCTCAGTCTTAGAGGATGAATAGGAGGAGCCACCTGGACGCTGGCTTGAGGTTCCTTCTGCTCCCCTGAAGGCCTGAGGCCTTCTTCCCCGGGGCCCTACCTCCAGAAAGCCCACCTTGATGATGTCCTCATTGTCAGACTCGCATTCCACTAGGGCAGAGACATCTAGGACCAAGCCAGTCACCTCAATGGCGATGACCTTGACAGGGATGGCCACTGTCCGGCCAGTCAAGATGGCCGTGTTGATGATCTCTGTGTCCTGCAGGGCAGAGAGGGAGGGGGCTCTGCTTGTGGTCCCCTTATCTCACAGGACACCCTGGCCAAGACCTCAGCTCCCAGCTGCTCCCACACCACAGATACACATCCCCTTTAGAGGGCACTCTAGCCCATGTGTGGGGATGGGCGCCCACCAACCTCACACTCCTTCTCAGATGGCCCACTCCCTTGGCCTCTGCAGGAGTCTCAGGGCCTGCCTCCCCAGGCCTCTGCCAAGTCCTTTCAAACAGCTTTAGTGCTCCTCAGGACACTCATGGTAACATCTCACATGCTTGTCTGGTGTTCAAGGTGCCCAGGCTGGTTCCCGACAATCATTCTGGCCTTCCCATCCACTGCACTCTTTCAAAACCCACCACCCCTGTGCACAAGCAGCTCACATTCCCACCACTGCACCCCGTCCATGTGACCGCCTGCCTAAGACACCCCAGGGCCAGGTCTCAAGAGCCCCTCCTCCCACGTGAACTCCAGGACTCAACTGCATGGCCACCACGCCCTGCAGACTTCCAGTGTGGTGCTCCTCGGTGACTTCCCCCGCCTCCATCCCCTCGCCATTGCTGTCCCCGCAGCACCAGGCACAGCACTCACGTGGGCACATTTCGGCATGGGAGGCAGTCTCACCACCCCCATGGGTCCCCTTGTGCACATGCTCCTACTAGGCACACTTGCGCATGCACAGAGACAAGCCCGGTCCCGCCTGCTCACCATGGCCAGGGGCAGGATGGCCTGCACGTCCCGCTGGATGACCGTCAGCTCGGTGACTGCCCGCTCCAGGTCAGGCAGGGCACCATGGCCACGGTAGTCGATGTGCCACATGATCCTGCGCTTGACTGACTGGCTGGTGAAGTTCTCCATCTCGAAGTCCAGCTGCAGGATCTCCAAGGGGCCCTGGCCCTCCCTGCCGGAGGGGGAAGGAAGGAGCCGAGGATGGAGGGCCAGGACTGCCCGGGAGCTCAGACCCCGCT